GCCCGCCTCGCCTCGTTCGCCCGACCCGTCCTCGTCCCATCCCGTCCCGTCCACGTCCCATCTCGTCACGACCCATCCGTTCACGTTCCATCCGTCACGTTTCCTTCCCGTCCACGTTCCCATTACCCGTCACGTCCATGCCGTCACGTCACGTCCCATCCGTCATCGTACGTCCCATGCGTTACGTCACGTCCCAGCCGTTACGTCACGTCCCATGCCGTTAGTCAACGTCCCATGCCGTTTACGTCACGTCCATTGCCGTTACGTCACGTCCCTGCCGGTACTCCGTCCCCATGCCGTTACGTCACGTCCCATCCCGCTCGTGCCGTCACGTCCCATCCGTCACTCCCATCTCGTCACGTCCGTCCTCACGTGAGTTTCCTCGAGCCGTCCCGTTCAGCTCCTGTTCTGATCTCGTCGAACGCCCCCGAACGTCCTACTCACCCTTAGCTTATCTGTTTCGCTTTCGCCGCCCATTTCCCGTTCTCACTGTCCTGTTTTCGTCTCGCCCTCCAATTCCACGTTGCCTCCAAGGCCCGTCCTCGCGACTGGCTTTGCCCTCGCCGTTCCGTCCGCTCTCCCGTCCCGTTCCCCGTTTCGTCGCTCGTCCTCGCGCATCCCGTGAGCCTCGCGTTGTACACATCATTAATTTGTAATTGAGGCATCACAAAGCCAAGGGAGCTAAGTTGTGATTTTGTTTTCCGAGAAATCAATAAAAACTGTATGAATTTGTATTCTGGACATGTAATTAGAGTCGTCACTAGGTAGAAGTTACAACTACTCGGAAGAAGTTTGGAACATCGCTCATTTAACTATATATTGGCACCGATTTGTGTAATATATATTTGTCAAAACCTTCCTTTCGAAAATGTTAGTACTTAGCACCTTTTGGCTTTGCAAGACCCCTTCAATTATAAATGATTTCCTAATGTCGAGGGATTGACAGCAAGAACTAATAAGATAGGTTTGGTTAACGGCACTTTAATAGCAGGCATATGGAGGGTGAAGGTGGGTTTGTGCCCTCGTGCACTGGGCCCGATCCTCGCTGCGGGAGCAGGAGCGACATCGATCCAAGCAAGGCCTGCCCGTCGCCCGGACTTTTCTTCCCCTTCTCTCTCCTCCCCTTCATCAGCCATCCTCTCCCCTCCCCTCCTCTCCTCCCCTCCCCTTCTACCAGAGTGACCACTTTCTGGAACACGGGGGAAATTCAATTCCATTACTCTAGAAAAGCCGGTGAAAATCAGGGACTTTGTTGCAGAGTCGATAAAAGTCAGGGAAAATTTCGAGAGGGTTGTAGATATTGCTCCAATAAAGCATTAGCACAACGTTACTTTTTGCTCCATTTTAATTTGTTGAGGAAATATTGTTAATTTGTACTTCGTCACGGCGAAATAAGATAGCTGACCAATGCGTATCAGGGTAGCTTTGATATTTCCTGTAAGTAGTGTGAAATTACAAATTTTAAGAGGGGGAAAAATATTAAAAATTCACTAGAAAACAGGAAACAATAATGGAAATTTGTGGTCCAGTAAAGGAATAGCCACTCTCTCTCCCCTCCCCTCTCCCCCACCCCCGCGCACCCTCGCGGCGTACACTGACTCCAGGTGATGAAAAGATGACATGCCATCACAATTCCGAGCTCTGCTAATAACAATAAAAACACATACGTTTTGACCACAAACGGCCTTGAGTTATGTTCCTCGCGCCATAATTTGCCACGAAGTGAGCTTCCGAGACGTTCTATTACTTTTGGGGGTTTCGGCTTTTCTGGAAATCCCCACTGCAATGGAAGGGCGTGTAGTATCACGAATTCTATTTTGTCTCTGCTTTTCGCAAACACATTATTACCCTTCATACAGACACCGGATTTTCACAAGCGGGTCTCGATGGGTTAACATTAACTAGTCTGTCCCTATTTTCCCCCTTTTTCTTTAAGAATCGACACTCATCTTAGAAAACGCACTTTTATTAATGTCATTGATCTATTTTATACGTTAATTCTTTATATCTCTGAATACAATTCAAAGTATCTCGTACCTGACTATACCGTCTGCAACTTCATCTTACGACTACTCCTACAACTACTAAATGATTGTATATCCATAATTTACCTAGTTTTCTTTGACATTCTAGAATACCAATTGAATGAAACATATTTAGTGTAATTACTTATACAATTAATCTTATGTCTCTTCAGCTAGAAACGTTTTTGTTTCTTTGTAAGTAGCTTTGTTCTCAATATCTACGGATTTTGTGGACGTGTTCGATCTTCACAATAGTGACTTAATTGCTAAGTATCAGCTTTAAATAAAAATAGGGATCAGATAGTTCCGTATTACATTTTAGCAAAAATTAAGATACCCACGCATCCCGTAACTTTTAGTACGTGAGTTCGTAAGTAATATTAAATGTTGGCGATACATACGGGGTAATATACTAGTACATTTTCTTATACATTCCATATATATTCAAAATTGCTGTATACAATACCTGATCCTTTGAGAGAATTCTGAGACAGTCCTTTGTTTTTCTTTTAGGCATAAATGAAACTTTACAATCTGTTCATGTCTCTAGAGATCGGTGGGAAATATAGCTTTTAATTCTGCTTGCTTGGTCAGTAAGTCGATTCATTCACTAGAACACTAGGGATAGTAACCACGGTGTAAGATATATTTTTATTATTGTCATTGATATACTGATATTTGATATATGATATTGGATTGATATACGGATTGATATTGATATACATTGATATATTTCTTACACCGTGTAGTATCCCAAATCTCTAGTTGATTTTCCTTTGCAAGTAGTTTTTGTTAAAATGGAGCTAACATTTTCTGATCATTCTCGCCAAAAAAGCTCATTTCTATCAGTAGTCAGAATTCAATTCGCGGATGGATAGGATAGGGATCACGGAATTTAAAAAAATGTTCACAGAATACAAATTATCCCCTTGTGTCAATAGGCACACCCAGTTTTTAACTGTTTTTGTCGTTAAATAAAAAATAAAAATGCAATTATTACCGACGCGACCCAAACGACTGATTCTCCACGAGCGAAGGACGGTTGCATTTCCTAATTCCGTGGCAACAATAGGAGTTTGAAAAGAAGACTGTCTACTTTTTCACTGCGCTCCGAATAAACTGTGCTTGAGTAATTGTTTTGTGGTGGATTGCTGGTAGGAAGATTACACAGAGAATTCGCCGAATTTCGTAATCAGTGCTTTAGGTTTTGGTATAGGCTTGCTCCATTTCTATAAACTACAAAATGTCTCAAGGAGATTTCCAAATTGATACCAATGGGTCTCATGAGACTCCTGAGAATAGAGGTAAATGAAATTATTTCAGGTTGTAAAGAACTATCATATTGTGTTTATTTGACACTGACGTGTTTTCTGGCGTAATTATGAATATTCTGGTATGTGTATTACAGCTAACTTTACAAGCTAAAATTTGGAACTTTTATATTTTACTGCATTTTTTAAAATCATTTTTAGAGATGCATTTTTATGAATTGTTAGTAAAATTCTGGCACATACTTATTAGAAATGTTTTCATTTCAAAATTTATTGTAAGTTATTTTCGTAATCTTTGAGAATATACACTCGGTAATAACTTTAATATAAATTGTATCCAGGTTAGGGGCCGTCAATAAATTACCTAATGCAAATTTGGAGTATTTTGAATATTCCCTCTCCCTTAACTTACTTAACGGTAGTAACATATTTTCCTTCTGATATTTGTAATTACAACACACATCCAACAAGTCTCGTTCATCAAGTGTCAGTATCTACAGCTCACTATCAGAAATCCACATACAATAAATTTACGTTACTTTACAACGCATTGCCAGATGACATTAAACAATTGAAATCGGTTCACAAATGTAAGTTAAAATTAAAATATTTTCTGCTGCATAACTTTTTCTATACAATTAGAGGCTATACTGATCATCAAAAAGAAAAATAATGTTTATTTTAACAAAGCAGTGATATATAATTAGTTTACTTATTGAATTAGTTTACATTTGTATTAGATATTTTTTTTAAAGACTTAATATACCTGTAACAAATTATGTACTTCAGCTTCCGTATCAATGATCCTCATCTCAATCAGGTTTTGTCCAGTTTCCCTGATCCATTGAGCAAATGCTGAGATGGTCCCTTGTTTTGCTTCTGGGCATAACAGTAGCTTCACTATGCGCACGGTTTCTTGAACTCTCCTTTTGCTTGTAATGGTAGGAGTAGAGGTAAGGGCGAGTTACTATTTTGTTGTCAAGGCAGAAAAATCAAACTTGCATTTCGTTTACCGATGCAAATAAGTTTCTATAACTCTGAGACGCAAATGTCTAGTTTTCCAAATGTAGCTAATCTCGCGTTTTTTAAATTTTATTTATTTATGTTAAACTTTTACTCATCTTTCAATTTTTTATAGTTAAAATAATGGGAAGGTATTCTGGAGAGAAAAAAAAGAAAAAAAACGTGCGCAGATCTCCCCCATACGTCACACACAGTTTTTACTTTTTTTAAAAACTAAATTAATCTAAATCCCCACTTCCAGCTGTCAACTCCACAGAAGTATTATTCGCTGTAATAAATTCGACGTTGCTATCTAGGTAGTGTCAAAAATCCTTCCACCGTCGGGACTCGAACCCTTGGACATCTCGGCCAGAGGCACGGAAGTTTTGATAAGTGAAGCTGACTGTTTTAGCAAGCGATCCTCTGCTGATCGTAATGAAAGGGGGTTTTATGACGATCAAATCAACTCCGAAGTATTTGTTTATTGCCGGATTAGTTCGTGAACTAGGAACCTTTGACATCCGAATATGTGTTTGTTGCCGGGTCAAGTTCGTGAACTTTTGACCGTAGAAATATTTTCGAGAAACGAAAGGATGAATGGTGTCGTACTAGCGAGAATAAAATTCTAGGAATAAGATTTATTTTTTTCTTTTAAAGGAACAAAACTGTGTGACTAACTAACCCGTTTTCTTTCCTTTTGCAGGTGAAATGTCTTCGTCGATCAATGACCCCTTGATAGGTGTCATCAATGAAGGAACCAACACCGCGACGTTTGTGGTAAGCACTCCCTCACATACCTATTGATTTCTTGAATTCGTACGTTTGTTGTAGTGCTCTTAGCATTTTCTTTCCTACCTCTTCCTCGTCCTATCCTCTCACTCTTTGATACGCGTACCCTAGTATGCACGCGTGCCGGGAGACCGGTCGTGAACTAGAGCTTGTCCCGGCTGGGGCGGTGCCCCCGCTAATGGGAGATACCTGGTTGGGGAAACCCCGCTAGCCGACGGTAGGTCGGCGCCGGATCAGGCTATGCAGTTCCCCCCGGGGGGGATGTACTACACTTACGGGGGTAAAGATCTCAGCTGTATATGCATAGTAAGGAAAGGTTGACTTCAGGATGCAATATATCCCAGCCTTTCTGGGTAAACAGGTAAAGGCTTTGGAAAAGTTGAACCGGGATGCAATCGCGTTTTGTCTTTCGTGGAAGGCGGGCTAGACAGAAATTCACCTCAAGATGCAAGCGATCTCAGCCTTTCTGGGTAGGCAGGTAAAAGGCTTCGAAAAAGTCGATCGCGGGATGCAATCGCGTTTTGTCTTTCGGGGGAAGGGAGAAGTTAACCGCGGGCTGCCATGGTCCCGAGAGCCGGCCCTGTGAGCGAGCGTGCGTGCGTGCGCAGGTGTTCTCGGCGACGACGGGCGAGGAGGTGTGCCACCACGGCGTGAAGATCACGCAGCTGGTGCCGCGCGAGGGCTGGCTGGAGCAGGACCCGGCCGAGCTGCTGGCGGCCGTGCGCGAGGGCATGGCCGTGGTGGGCGAGGAGCTGCGGCGGCGCGGGCGCGACCCGCGACGCGACATCGCCGCCATCGGCGTCACCAACCAGCGCGAGACCACCGTGCTGTGGGACGCCGCCACGGGCGAGCCGCTCTACAACGCCATCGGTGAGCCACCACCGCTGATAATGACAATAACAACGGCACTGATGATGTTAAGGTTACCGATGACGATGTTAAGGGTACCGATGACGACGTAGACGGTACTGATAACCATGTTAACGGTACCGATAACCATGTTAACGGTACTGATAACCATGTTAACGGTACTGATAACCATGTTAACGGTGCTGATGACGATGTTGACGGGACCGATGACGACGATGACGGGACCGATGACGATGATGACGGGACCGATGACGATGATGACGGGACCGATGACGATGATGGTACCGATGACGATGTTGACGGTACCGATGACGATGTTGACGGTACCGATGACGATGTTGACGGTACCGTTGACGATGTTGACGATACCGATGACGATGTTGACGGTACCGATGACGATGTTGACGGTACCGATGACGATGCTGACGCTACCGATGACGATGCTGACGGTACCGATGACGATGCTGACGGTACCGATGGCGATGCTGACGGTACCGATGGCGATGCTGACGGTACCGATGACGATGCTGACGGGACCGATGACGATGCTGACGGGACCGATGACGATGCTGACGGGACCGATGACGATGCTGACGGGACTGATGACGATATGTCATAAGTGGGAACAAAGTTTAATAGAAATGGGGCCCAGAAAAATAATTTACCCCTGTCTCTCTTGTATTAGGCTGCACATGCCTATGTGTATATATTGAATTGTAGGTCTTGCATTTTTTGCATTATACTATGCCAAATTTCAAGAACTTTGTAAGTGTAAAATAATCACAAAATGCCATCAAAATTGTAAAATTTAAAGTGCATGTTATAGTGCATTAATTGATTCTTGAATATCTGTTACAGTGTGGTCCGACATACGCACAGACTCCACAGTGGACCATGTGTTGGCGCGTGTACCAGACAATGACAAGAACGCCCTCATGGAGCTCAGTGGCCTCCCCATCAGCCCATATTTTAGTGCCCTGAAGATTCGTTGGCTTATAGACAATGTGTATGCTGTGCAGAAGGCCATCAGGAGGAAAACATGTTTATTTGGAACAGTGGACTCTTGGCTAATTTGGGTGCGTATGTGGTAATTAAAAATGTTAGGAGAAATAAATCTTGTGCATCTACCTGTGTTGAAAGGTTAGCTTGTGTCAGTAATTATCACTCATTTTCCCGACCTTCTTCAGGACTTAACATTCAAACAACCGATTTCTAAATTGGAATAAAATAGATGTTTCAAATTATACATGCATGCTCGTCTGATTTTAATACCAATTGGACAGCATAGCCATTGCCCACTATGACATTTTCATCCAAAGCAATGAAGTGGAATCGTCTAGAATGAATGAAAAACTTGCTTAGTAGACACTGGGTTTGAATTACAGTGTACAATTTATGAGAAAAATACATATACTGAGGGTTTTCATTATTTTGATAGAGGTAGTGTTTCTTTCATGGCCTACTCTCATTATATTTAATAAATTAAAAAAAAATAAATTAGAACGATAAATATAGTCAACCAGTGCCAGTGTACTTGGAAGTGCTAGCAGAAAAAGTAACGTTTCATATCTCCATTTTTTTAAATAATTTGATGTCCAACATAAAGAAATTTTGTGTACCAACTTAATGCATATTAATGAAAGAAACATTTAGTGAAGCATTGTGATACTAATTTATTAGGTGCCTTACTGGTATTCATTTTAAGTAAAATTTGAAAACTGACCAATCAGTATTAGTTAAGCGTTACTATTTATTTAATTATTTACCATCAAAAAGAAGTTAAAAACTGTGTGGCGTACTATGAGGAGAAGTGCAATGGTTTCTTGAACTCTGGGATGTTTGTTCTAACTCAAATACATATTAACTTAAATTACGAAAACATGTGGCAATGAGCATTTTGATAAGAATTGATATAAAAATATTTGCTTCCACATAATAAAAACTATTTTTAATAGCTAATTGGCTACAGATTTAGGCTATTATCCTTAGCGCTTTATGTGAAGGGATCGACTTACTGCTGAGGTGAGATGGAAAATGATTATGTGATAGTGAAGATAGTGAAGCTACATCCTTCAATTATATTTACCTAAATGAATGATTGTGACATTTTCCAGAATTTGACTGGAGGGAAGAATGGAGGCATACACGTGACGGATGTTACAAATGCTTCAAGAACCTTATTAATGAATATAACTACTCTTCAATGGGACCCTGTTTTATGCAGGTATTTGTTGTTGTCATCAGATGTCTGGGATTCAGTCATAGTAATTTGTCAGTTGGAAGAAATCAATTGAATATTCTCAACTGTTGATGGAATGTGTGAATATTTGAAAAGATAAAAATCCTTTGGTTTTCCTCAATTCCATTATGTGGTTAAAATCAAATTCATGTTCTCTTTGTTTATTTTTATCATGTGAGTAACTTGAGTATTCTGATCTCCTTAATGAATCTCTTTATCTTGAATGCCCTCTAATAATAATATTATCACAGACTTTAGTCGTTCTTTGAACAAGAATGAAGAACAAATTTGAAACCTGATGTAATTCTGCCCCCAGACTTTCGCACTTGTCTTGCTGTTTGCTGAGAAATATTGCTATTAATTTTTATAAAGAGGAAACTATTTCATATTTTCTCTATTCATTATTGTTGAGAAAAGTAGCATTTAAATTACCAGCTCTTCAATTTTTGTAGACCCTAACTTGCCTAACTTCCATTAAAGATTTTTGTAGGAAGTCCTGAAGGGCAAAAAGAGAACAAGATCTAAAAGGTGGTGTATATATTTACAAGACGTGACCCGTCAATACACAATTCAACTCAATTCATATATGAATTAATAATTACATTTTGATTAAAGGTTAATTAGGAGGACCATTGTATTTTCTGGATTTAAAAGCACTCCGTACATTAATTCAGGGACCATAATTTTCTCGAATAAAAGATTACCTTTGTTTTTATAACTTGAAATTTGTTCACAACAAATAAAAAGAGGGGAATGATTGTGATATTTATTTATTACGTGCATGTATTACTACCATTTTCCTTTAAAAGAATTGAAATATAATATTGGGATGTTCGTAATAAAAGGATAATGAAAATTATCCTAATTAGTGATATGATGAGTAGGTTCCAAATTTTTAGGTTTTAACCTTTTGTATTCCTCTTTTCATAACATCAACATTCTTGTTTTTATCTCCATTTCAATAATTTTAGACAAATGTGTAAATCTTGTAGATTTCAAAATAGGACTAAATGATTTGTGATCATAAAAGAGGCAAAATTGTGAATTTCAACGAAAATACAAATTTAAGAAAATAGTTCTTCATATGCATTGATTACAATTTGATGGTGGCTTGGACACAGTACCAACTTTGCTGACTTTACTGCTACAGTTGAAAAACTATAAGGAGTGGGTCTTCTATTGAAAGAAGCAATGAACATCATTGAAGCTCTACAAGGGTCTCTTAAGTGACGTGGTCTCATCAGAGCTCTTGAAAATTCAACACAATCTTATATGCAAAGATAACATTCATAAATGCAGTTCTAGGGGAAGAAATATACTGAGAATTATCTTGGTGTCCCAGAGTGATGTCGTCTATTAATTATGGACCTTTGATTTCACCTTCCGTTTAGTGATTCTTTTCTCTTTATAAGTGTGTTTTGAGACATTCACTGTACAGTTCTTCACAAGTACAATGGGAAATCAAAGGTCCATAATGAATAGATGATATCACTCTCGAACTCCTAGGTTATTCTCAGAATATTTCTTTTCCTAGAACTGCATTTATGAATGTTATATTTCCCCCATAGAACATGATTGGCATTAGTTCAGTGAATTCTATAATTAATCAATATAAACTTTCTTGATCATTTATGATATAATGGATAAAAATCATTGAATTATTTTCCTGATCCTTGTTTGCAGTCAGTAAATTAGTTGAAATAGTCAGAGATTGATCCATAAACCCATAAGCATGGGAATAGAAATATGTTTTGTTTTGAAGTAATTGGCTTTGTGTAATATAAGATTATTCAGAGCAAAAAAAATCCTCAGTAAATTGAATAGATTGAATGAGGAGGAGTAATGTTTTCTTCTAAATTTTTGTTTTCAGATATCTCCAGGTTCCACAGCATATTTTGCCAGAAATTCGCAGTTCTTCAGAAATCTATGGATATGTACAAGAAGAGCCCTTTGAAGGAGTTCCTATCTCTGGGGTATGTAATGCTCACATTTTATTATGAAAATAAGATTTCAGTTTAAATAAAAAAATAACAGGGCTTTATTTCTTTTATAGATTTTGGGTAACCAGCAGTCTTCTCTTGTTGGACAACAGTGCCTCAAGGAAGGTCAAGCAAAAAACACGTACAGAGCGGGTTGTTTCTTGATTTACAATACAGGATATAATGTAAGTATAAACAAAAATTAGTTTTGCAATAGACTGGTTTATACAATAAATATTTACATTTTTTTATGAATTCACTCTAAGATGAAAAGACGTCTTGTGCTAGTAATTGTTTTGTTATTTTCAATAAATTCAATAATAATGTTGATTTATATTGAAATCAAGTATAATGGAAGTAGACATTTGAAGAAACTTTTTGCTTGTGATATGCTGTTAATATGTTTAAATTATTTGCCTTTTTAACAGCTCCTTAATGGATACATAAAATGAGTAGTAGTTAATATGCAATTTCTAACAGAGAAGCCACAAATTAAGAGAAAACTTAAATTGTATGTAAGAATATATGATGTTCTGTGTCTGATGGCCAAAAATCTGAAAATAAAAAACAAATTATTTGCAGCCCTTAGCATTTTTTGAAAGGGAATTCTTCATTAGATCATTAAAGAACAGGTTAATCAAGTGGTAACAATCTTCATTTGTCCTTAATAACAAGAATTTTAATGCTCCAAACGGAAAGAATCAGGAAATAATGGATCCTTTTCTTTTTTTAATTGTAAAGGTTTGCTGACCTTACAATAACACACTAAAAGATATTTTTTTAAACATTATTTTGTTTTTTGAGATTTCAACCCTAGTTGAAATTTTTTTATTCAAAAGCCAACTGATTTTTAATTAAGTGTTTTCAACAAACTTGGACTAGATATTTTTTAAAGATTCTCACTAGGGTCAGAACGTCAAAACACGAAATATTGAGTTAAACAAATACATTTTAATGTGTTTTATTAAGATCGGGAAACCTTTACAATTAAATAAACAAGATACCAGTCATAATTCTTTTTTTTTTTTTTTTTAGAGGGTGCTGTCATCTCATGGTCTGGTGACTACTGTGGCATATAAAATGGGGAAGAATGCGAGACCAGTCTATGCCTTAGAAGGGTCCATTGCCGTGGCTGGAGCTGCTGTGAAGTGGCTTAAGAACAACCTGAACCTTTTGAACCACGTGTCAGAACTGGAGGATATGGCATCACAGGTCCAGACAACTGGGGACGTGTACTTTGTACCAGCCTTCTCAGGACTTTATGCACCGTACTGGCGGAAGGATGCCAGAGGGTAAGGCTTTGTATTGTGATTGGCCCACTTATTGCCATTTGTTTGCTTCGGTTGTGTTCTGGTAAAGTTTCAGACTAGTTTACTCATTCATGTTCTATTAATTTTATGGAAATTCCCTATTCTCTTCCAGAATTCGTTTCATGCAGATAACTCCATTTTTAATATGTCTATTATTTGCCCATTATTAAAACATTAATTTAGGGGAGCCATAAACCCCCGTCTCTGGCGTGTTCCTTTGACTGTACATTTGACCTATTATCTCATAAACTATTCAAACTAATGCTGTAAAGGTTGGGAATAGTTTGGTGGAAATGTTTTAAGTAATTGAAATCTTTTGAATTGTTCTTCTAATTTACAGAATATTTTAAGTAAAAAACAAAATTTTTACATTATTTTTTCTGATATAGTATACAGAAATTCTGAAGTATGAACCTTTACTCATTTTGCTTCCATATGTTCATTATTACTTAATTGACCGTATCCAAAAAAATGAAAATTGTCATTTGAGAAGTTTGAGATAATAGGACAATGTGTTCAAAAGTCAGGTCTTAGAAATCAATGTCAAAGTTTATCCTTGTGTAAAAACCAATTGCCTTATTTTGATAATGAGTAAAAAAACGCATTTACCGTATAATTAGTCATAGAAGATAAAGATTTGAAAATTGCATAAAAGTACTGCACACGAAAATATTTGGACTATGAAATTTTCATCTCAAACGATCTTTTAATAAGCCTTTGAGATATGTTTCTTCTGGCTGAGTGGGTGTGATAAAATTCATCTCAAAAGTGGCACAGTTTTGTTCTTGCTGTTGCTCATGTCTAAGAACAACAAATAAAATTAGTTGAATTAAAAGTAGTATAATGGGGAAATATTTGTTCAAGGGTTTTGTACACTTAATTTACTTTATATCATTTAACATTTTACAATCTTACACACTTGCGGAGGTTAGGAACAAAAGGTGACATTTCCATTTTTGGTTCAACTCGTTTTTTTTTCTTTTTCTCTATCCAACTCAAACGGTTGAATTTCATTGATATCTGCAAATATTATGTTCAAAAAGTGATTAATTTCATTAAAAAAATTAACCTGAAAAGCTGCTTCTGGATCAAAAAGAAACATTTTCATCCAACCACAGTAATGATTGAGATTTCAGTATAAAAAGTGTCATTTACTTTGTCATTTGCTGAGTGTGATTGTTTAGAATCTGATTGTGGAGAATTACATGTTTAATAATAATGTTATGAATATTATATTTTTTATTTTCTTACTCAGAGTTTCGTAAAGTAACATTTTGTATCCTGTGAGTGTCAAAAGGTGACATTTTACAAGCCCATTGAATCAAATGGTGACATTTACTTGGTATTGGATCAAAAGGTGTCCTTTGATAAATATTGTATTTTATAGTGCCTTAATTTGAAAACCTACAAAAATAGTTTTAAATGGGTTGAAATCTATCCATTAACTGACACATTTATATAGTAAAAGAATTATAAAATAATTGCACAGATAAACCAAATATTGTTTTTCTCAATTTACTGAAAAAACTAAAAAGTGTAAATGTCATCTTTTGTTCCTCACCTCCTCACTTGTATAAAGGTAAATTTAGTGCTGGATTTTGGTATTGTGGGGCACCCAAGCAGAAAATTGAGATGGGGACCTCCCACCCTCCAAGCAAGATGGTTTCTGTTGAGCTGATAATGAAATTCAACATCAAAGCCAAAGGAAATGAAGTACATTCTTTTAAAAAAATTGAATGTTAATGAAATATGTAGTGGAAAATTGAGAGTTGTTTTTGTTGTTTTGTAGAATATATAATGAGGGTATGGCTTAACGCTATACTTTAAAAGAATTATGTAATGATTTTGTTGATAACAAGGAGAGAATTTTTATTAAACTGTTGTTTAGACCCTTATTTTAAATTATGGACAACCACAATGAAAACGCCCCAAAATTTTTCATTAACTAAACAACAAGTAAATAGAATTATATTGAGACAACCAATTTAAAAACTTAATCTTAAAGAGAATTTTTAGTTAAAACATTTTAATTTTTTCAGAATTCTATGTGGACTGACGCAGTTTACTACAAAGGGGCATATCATTCGTGCTTGCCTAGAGGCAGTGTGCTTTCAGACCAGAGATATTCTTGAAGCAATGAATAAGGATTGTGGAATTCCTCTAGAAAAGTTGCAAGTGGATGGCAAGATGACAAAAAACAATCTTCTTATGCAATTGCAAGCAGACATATGTGGCATTCCTGTTGGTAAGTTAAAGTACAGCCCATTTAGTTGTTTTGTAAATTACTCAATTCGTATTATTAGGACTGGAAGTATATGTAGAAACTTTTCTGTTTGTTTCCCATACAATTATTTGTGTATTTTATTCTTGAATTTTATGCCATTATGTTCTTACAATTGTTATTGTGTTAAGATGTCCAAATGTGTGATATATTTTACTTTCTCACATTCTACTTATGTAGTTAGGTGAAAGTTATGTTAGAGTTATTTTTCAGCAGAAACATTAATCTTGTAAGTCCCTAATGCACAAGAAGTGGATAAACCTTGTTTTACATTTAGAAAATTACTTCCTTTGAACAGCACGTGTTTTGTGGGTTCTTCGTACCAAAGACTCGAGGACATTTTCAATTTTTTTTCAAAAATGGCTACAAAATTCTTGGATTCATTTTTTTTATTGGATAGAGCAAAGTACACTTCTAAAAATGGCTCTAGTTCAATTTTTGTTTAGTTCTCTGATTTTTTGATTGAATTACAAAAGTTAACAATTCTTTTCAACTATTAACTTCTTACAACTTCAATATTGAAGATACCGATTTTTCTTCTTAATGAAATCTATTCTTCAAAATTACATATTTCAGTAAGGTCATGTACAATTGAGTAGTTTTTGCACAATTTTGCATAAAATTAAAGCAATTTAAAAAAAAAGCATTTCACAAAAAAAATTATTTACATTTTTTGTTTGAGTAGTGTTAAAACCACCAAATAACATAACATAAACAGCATTTCGATGTATTCTTTCAAAACTTATACTGGTATAATTTGTTTTGAAATATATCGCACATTGTTAATATTTACATTAATGAGGGATGTTTATATATTACTGCATTTGTAGGTAGAAGTGCTTTAAATGATTTTGAATAAAATTTCTCGAGAGGTGAGTTCCTTTCTATTGTTCTGAAATTTGAGCAATTTCAGAAACACTTAAGGGACATTTTCTCAAGAACAGATACAGGACTATATTTTACTTTTCTTTAATATTTCTTTAATATTTATATAGTCATGCAGGTAGCAGCTCTGAAGAGAGCAGGGCAATACTGAAAAGCTAGCCTTGTCTAAAGATATTAGAGAATACTACTTTCTTTACTTACTTTACTTACTAGTGATAACTTGCTGCTAAAAATATTTCATGTTAATTTCGTTTCCAGAGCGGTCAAATGTTAGTGATGTCACTTCGTTAGGGGTTGCCATGGTTGCTGGTCAAGCGGAAGGAGTTAATGTGTGGAAGGCACATTGGAAAGAAAGTACACCCCAAGTTCCATCAGAGATTTTTGAACCGAAGACCACACTTGAGGGTGAGGCACCCAATTTTGTGACTTGCTCAAGAATGAGCTATATTCAATACAATAGAATACTGCTAATCTGAACCCTACACAAATTTCGGATAATCCAAACCAAAATTGATAATTCACAAACCCACATAAACTTCAGATATTCCAAACAACATTTGGAATTGGGGGAAAAATAAACAAAATGCATATTTGTAGTGTAAAGGATTTTATAATTACTATAGAACTGAACAATTAGTTATTGAAACAAGTTGAAATGAAAGGTTTATTGCACTTGCAACTATGGTGTTTATTACATGCTTATGTAGCAGTAATTTTCCCTTAGAGGATGTTGAAAAACTGGTCTTCTTTTGCTGTAAAGAATTGAATCTGCTTGATGATGTGATCGCTATGCTATGTTGCTGTTTTCTTACATTCCACACTTTGTTGCGTTGTATCTGGTAATCTTGTAGATTTATTTGTATACGTTTGGTACATTTTTTTGGATTATCCGAACACACCAAACCCCCAATTAGTTTGGAAAACTAGGGTTCTACGGTCCATCAAACTACCTTTTTTTATTAGATTTATAAAAATTAAAATATTTTGTACTGTTCAGGCTATTAATATAATTATGTTGCCCATTACTAGCAGTAGCATTTAAAAAAATAATATTTAAGTTTGATACCCTTAAATTATGTTATGTATACTTGCAGAACATTTCTGCAATATTTCTGAAAGACATGGAAATGTTTATAGTTGAAATATTACATTAAAACAAAGACTTGCATGTTTTGCCCTTGAACAAATTTTGTTGTTTAATATATTTTGGTATTAATTGTATGATCAATTGCAAAAAAAAAGAACTATTCAACTAATTTATGAGTTACAATTCTTTATCTTTGTTGCTATGTTACTATTTTCTCTTTGCAGAACGTGATTTGAGGTATACAAAATGGAAAATGGCTGTGCAGCGAAGCTTAGGATGGGCCACAACAAAGAAATCGGTTGCCATGACAGGTTAGTAAAAATTTGTATTAAAATTATGTATTGATATTATTGTAGAATTAAGTGTTAAAATTGAAGAATAATAAGTCTAGATAATGAAGTTAGTTGAACAATGTATTATTTTGTTCAGTTCTGCCAGTTTTATTATACTTTTACAATAACTTAACATTTTGTGGTATTATATTGGGAGTGACTTAATGTTGAAAAGTTGGTGTTCTTATCTAATGCTCAGTTACCTCGAAAGGTCTTACTTTCTTTCTGTTGAATGTTAAAGTCATTACAAGTCAACGCAGTGTTATGTCAATTATTTATTCTTCTACCCATTGTGTAGATCCAATGCTGTGTTGTTTTTACCTATTCAAACCAAATGTAGTGGCTGATAGGCTACCACTTTGTGAAATTCCAGCTCAATTTACAAAGATCTCCACAAAGGGTTAAATAAGGTCAAATTACAATTTTTTTTTGTCAGTCACAGTTGAATTTGCATAAAGAGACTGTGGTGATATAGATTCAGATCCTTTTTGTTTCTCAGTTCTCGTATTTTAATTGCAGCAACGTCTCCAAAAATGTCTCATCTGTAAGTTGCTGTTACCAGATGTGACACATTGCAATTCTTGAAAGAGCATTTAGAGTTGTCAGCTTTGAGCAGTCTCTGCAGGTAAAGAGAGCATGTTCACAGAGAAATGTTAGCTCAACATAGTAAGGCAAGAGGTGGAGGTTATGGTGATGGTGTCAGTACAAGAATGTTCGACTAATTTGTGAACTTGGAAGAAACATTATCTAATGCTCTTGTTAAGTTTTGAAATTTGATCAGATTCTTTTTATGCAGCAATTATTGTTGGCAATATTCTCTTTTAATCTACATCTCAGTTGTCAGCTTCTAGGTAGTTGCTTTAATGCAAATATACTGTTCATTTAGTGCAAGAATTCAATATTTTATTTTAATTTTTGCATAGAGTTCACATTTTTAAAATTTGCACAGATAAAATGCAAACATTTTAGTGTCTAACTTAACACAATGAAGTCATTGTTGTTAAATTTTAGAGGACCTTAAATGGACAATGTCATAAAAATTCATATTTATTTACTAAATTTTTTTTTTGTTTGATTGCTTCCTTTTTAACTCTTTAATGAAAAGAGGATAGTTTGGAAAAGAAAATTATGATAAATCAATTTTTTATAATGTTTTGCATCCTTTACTTAGAAATGAACAAACTCAAATATCAACTACTAACAATAAAAACTTAATGCCGATGTTACCTTCTTTAAATGACAGTTCTGAGGAGAAATTGTCAATAAGAAATGTTGTCATTTAAGGGAGGTTTTCCGAAAATAAAGTTGACTTACAAGAAAATTAACATATTGAGTAAAAGTGACAAAAGAAATGGGTTTTGAATGCATGCAGGAATTCTTCATTATCATTGATATTTTGAGGTATCAAGTAATACAATTTAATAATATATTATTTAGAAAAATTTTATAGGTGAAATGTAATATGAGCAAAATAATTTATAATAAATGTAACTTCACTATGTGTGCATGTCTTATAGACAGTTGGAAATATAGATATTCAAATTATCATTCTCCATGTTATCGTGGCTGAAGTATATTCCTTCACGAAGGACATGATAAGAGAGATAATCTACAGCTCATTTGCACTTGAAAATAGAGTTTTTGCATCAGAGTGACTATTTTCTTATCAATTCTGGACAAAAATGCTTATTCTTTCTGTATTCAGAATTCAACTTTTGTAGGCTTAGTTTAGGGATCCCAGAATTAAGAAAACTTGCACAAAATACACTTCAAAATACTCTCCATAGTACATCACAGTTTTTAATTGATTTTGAACTGTAAAATAAATAAATAAATAAATATGAATATAATAATAATAAATAAATAAATAAATAAATAAATATGAATATAATAATAAATAAATAAATAAGTATTCATGCATTTTTTCCCCTTTTGAAATGTCTTGGGGATAGAGTGAAGTCTTCCCAAAAACATCATAAATTGACGTGACTTTCAAATCTTTGTTTAGAAGATTATAGGGGATAATTGTTATAATAAGCAAATGTCAAACTGAAAATTCATTATTCAATTACATTCAGAATACAAATTCAACTAAAGTCATATATCCCCAAATTCTCTATTACAAATATCACCAAAATTATTAATTCAATAATGTACAAATTTGTGACAAACAATGTAGCTAACAATATATCAAACATGAGAGCGTAAGCTTCTGCAGCCATTGTCAGTAGCTACTTGGCTGTTCGGAAGACACTACACCGTAGACACAGTTGCCAATGTATCAGCTGCAATTCTGTAAATGTATTTTGTCCTGAGGAAGGTGACAAAATGGTGGCTGAAATGTTGGCACCCATGCCTAGAATGTGGTGACTCCTGACAGCCAAGTAGCTAATATAACAAATTTAATGGGGTTAGAGTCTGTCCATAAATTACGTTATGCAAATTTGGATGTTTTGAATGCAGTCTCCCACGCATCGATAACGTGCAATCAAACACTCCCTAATCAGGATTTTCAACCAACATGAGACCTGCACCATTCTTTTAAACATCCCTCTCACTATCCAACAAAATGTCCCATGGGCTTCGTGTAAATTACTCCCCAAAATAAAAATATTGGTGTCAAATCCAAAGGGCTATGACATGAGCCAGATCGGTTGTGGAATATCATTTTTGGAGAAAATCACCCAAACGGTTTAACCGCTAGCATTGTACACAGACGGACAGAAGTTTTGCTGTCATTTAATTTTTCAGTATGAAGAACCCACAAAACATGAATTCTGGCTACATCACATGATAGAGTATTTTTTTTCTAAATGTAGCAACAGAATTTATTCACTTCTTCAAAACCAGGACTCTGTAATGAAGAGTTTTTCTGCCGGAAATTCTTTTGTTTCTCACGCAGCATTTCGTTACTTTCTCTCTACTCTGTAGCAAGAAAGTACAAAGGAAGTATTGCAACAAACTTTTTAAAAAAAAATCATAACACTAATTGAATACCCCCTACCCCTCCTTGCCCCTCCCCTGCCCGTAATCACTCAGCAACAATCCAGCCTAGATGCAATGCAAATTACATTACCTGTAATACATGTATTGTAATGTAAAACATTACCTCAAGTAATGTTTTATGGTGTAGCGAAATTAGAAATAATATCCAACCTCGTGCTGCTCCTTTGCTTTCACACTTAGTACAAACACTTTGCAGAAGCAATCATTCATTTGGTTCTAGAATTGTTGTATAACAAACACCCTCACACTCATACATACAATGGACAAATGGTATTTTCCCCAAGTGTAGAGTGAAACAGAAACAAATTTAGTCATTAAAAAAGTTCTGGCATCCTCGCCAACTGCAAGGATCTGCCATCCTTGTTCATACATGCCCATATACATTCATTTTTATGTTAAAGTGTATTTCCTTTCTAAATGATTATAATCTTCTCATTGAAATAAATAGCTGATGCATTATACTATAGCATACTTAGGTAAAACAAAGACTAGAGCTGCAGATGTATAGGAAACACTGTTTATTATCATTAATTTTCTTAGAAGTTCCTTCAATATTCATATATTTTATTTATCACCACAATATTTTTTTAATTATATTTAGAAAATAATTAGGAGTAAAGTAATGTAAAATTCAAAATGATACATTAAAAGTATTTTGAGTTTTGCAGTTAAAAAAATATCATTCATCAATTTTGATTTAAGCTAATTTTTTTCTTATATATTTATCCGTTTGTAAAATGCATCTCTCTTCTGAATGAATATTACAAATATTTTGATGTACAATAGAATATACTTTTGAATACAGATATTATGTTTTCTTTTCAACTTTTTTAAGTACATGGTCAATGTCATTTTAAAAATTTAATTTTTTTTCTTGTGTTTTTTCAGATGAAAGGTTCCGCTTGCTAGCCTCAATCCCAGCAAGCTGGTTTCTCATCGTCAGCTTTGGCATGCTTGTTCTCTCCAAGGAGCTGGTCAGCTGACGTCCATGAGACATTTTCTGCCACTGTGGACAGTGCTTAAACTCCAGTTCAACTCAATTTCTACGTTGTCACACTAGAAAGTTCAGAGATTAGCTGTCATTTTAGTTGTAGCTCAGCATTTGTATAAATGTGTGTACTTTAGAGCCTGAGTGACAAGTAGTGTATCTATTGGTTTAGATGTTCTGTTTTGTTGTTGTTTTTTTCTGCCACTGCACAAATGAATGGATTATATGAAGAATGAAGATGTGAAATGTGTTTGTATTGTGAATGTGAAAACAATGTGATAAGTGGCTAGTGTAAATTTTGAAATACTATCATTCTTCTGTTTTTCTAACAACAGTGTGAGATTACATGCACATTGGAAAGTGAAGGAATCATGCATGTCTAATGCCATTAAAATGTCTTCAAAAAAGACAGCTGGAGCTGATATTTATAATTGACTTGTAGAACATGATATTCACTGTTTAGAAGTATATATTTAACTGTAAGTATATGGTGTATATAGGATATATGACAACTTAACATGAAAGCTTCTGTACTTCTGAGAATTGCTCTGTTGTTCATGATGAAATGAAAGGGCAGGGGACTTTCTACTAGAAAATGAGGGTGTAAGCCCTCATTAATAATGGCCTACTGATGTTTGCAGTAATGACCATTGTCTCTCTTATCTATTGAAAATTAATATTTCAAATATATTAGAATTAACATTTACTATTATAAAAAAACATGTCACCAACTTTAAGCAATACATTTGTCTTATAATCTAAAACGTACGCCAATTTAAAAGATTTAAAGCAGAAACCCTCCTAGACCAGTGGCATTCTCTTAGAAAGTGCGGGATGTGCATATCTCCTATTGAGAACTCAACACATCTGAGGTGAAAAAGTGTGATGAATTTTAGTATAAGCAGTAAAGACATACAGAATTATTTTTCCAATGTTGTTTCTGTATTGGTAATTTGTTGAAGTGTTTATAGAGCTACAGATACTGTGCAAATGAGGTGATACGACAGAGTTCAAGAGAACTTGTGATGAATTTTAATGACATTGCCCCTGAGCTGGAAAGCATATGATGCATCATGTTTATTGTATAAAGAAAGGCCTTTTTGTAATGTGTTTACTTGTATCATTCCAGAATAGCAACATGAGGTGTATAGAGCCATATTGTCACTTGATATAGCATTATTGCTTCTTGTGTCTTTTAATTTTGCTTGACTCTCAGTTAAGTCACTGGAAGATATTTATTTATTATTGTATTATTACATTACATTGTATAAATGTTGTGATATTTTACACAAAGGTGAATGGCATGATAATGGGGAAAATGCATGACATGCAATTCCAGACTTATGGTGTCTGTGTGCTGTTTGAAACGTAAAGAAATCACTGCTGATTGTCCTATCAGCCCTACAAAATTGCTTCTGTACAATGATTCTTCTAGTGATAGAGGAAAATAGAATACATGTGAAAAATATTGTCAGAATTTTAAATGAATACAGTAGTTAAATTTTTACAAGAAATGCCTTTAAACATTCATATGAAGTACTTTTTTTTTTCTTTGGTCTTTTACAATTCATTTTCAAACACATTCTCAACATAAAATTTTCTTTTTATACTTCAAGGATTTTTAACAGACCAGAAATAGCATATTCATAATGCTAAATAGGTTGGTCTGGATCTTGTAGAACCAGTGTTCATTAATTTAAAAAACTGTAATTTTTAGTCATGTTCAAATATGTTTTTGTTAAGGTAAAGTTCCAAGTATTACTGTTGAATCTTTTTGTATTGATTTTTGTATTTTAATTACTGAAGACAGTGCATGTTTGTTCTCAAATGAGGGTATTTGTTTGGTTGAACATATGAAGTTAATGAATTATTATTTATAGTACAATAAAAAATTTATTTCCTCTCCATGCAAACACACTAGTGTCTTAGAAACCTGGGCTTACACTTTTTGCCATTTTGGGCTTCCAGATGATTAGCTGGTCAGTCACTAAATAATTGAAGTGTATTATTGTCATAAATAGTGACATGTGAAATTAGCACTTACAAATTTTGTGATCAGTGAGCTTAGAGCAGTGCAGATGTTACGTCTGAAAGCATGTAAAAATTTGTTTGAAATAATTTAAATTGTTGTAATAAAATTATATAAAATATGACATTATTAAGTCTTTATTTATGGCTAAATTTTGTACAAAGTTTTGCTCATTTTACAAAAATATAGTAACTAATATAGAAACTGAACCTACGCATCTCGCAACTGGAGTATGGCACTAAAAAGGTGCAGATTTAACTCGGCTTAATGTTGAGTTACATCTGCAGTATTCAAAATGGACCACGAAACTACTTATTGTTTCAAGTTGTCCAATGATTATTCACATTAGTAAAGTGTACAAAATTTTTGAAATGCAAGGCTTTTAACTGTAATTTTTCAATTTTCTTCTATTCTCATTTTGTGAACATTTTTTTCAAGTAATGATTCATCTTAGGGGTCATTAAAAAGTTATATTACATTTTCAGGGTGTGTAGGGTAAGGAATAGGGTACCACAATTTAGATTTCTACAAACAAGGGGGAGGGGATTGATAATATAAACATACAATTTTTCTTCTATTACTAGGTTTGAACGTGATCAATATTTGTATTGCCGCTTATAGTGAAAGTAACTCACTAATCAAAGTTGGCAATACCACTTACACTGATGTCATCTATTGTTTTGTTAATAGTGAGCATTTCCAAGTATATAGTAATTCGTGAAAATCATGGACATGTGCGATATGTAAAATTGGGGAGGGATATTAAAAGAAGTGTGTCCCTTCCCGCAATTTTAGTCGAAAATAGCACTATATTTACTAATTTACTGATGTTTGAATTCACAAGGAGTCCTGGTGAAGAATTCCTACATCTCCCTGCCAAACTGGCAGTATCTTCATAATATTCTTTTATTCTTCTCTGTGCATTTTTGTCTTGTGAAGGGTAGCAAAGGATAATCACCATGTTATTTTACAGTCTTAACATTATTACACAAATAATTATTAATGTTTTAATAACATAAATCAAATTAGAATGAAACTATTTGATATAATTTAAAATTGTTTGGGGGAGCATATTCCTCCTGCCAGCGATGACCATGAGAATGACTTAATGTACACATTCAAAATTGACTGCGACTTCAAGATCAGTAAATATAAAAATTATTTGTTGCTGATTTTTATTACTTTAAGAAAATAATTTTCTGCACAATTTCAGTTCTTATAACAGGTAAATTTTGTGAATAGAGCTTTTGAATTGCCCCT